AGAATTCGCATATCACTATATCAGATTTTCAGAAATTGACATAACTTAATTCAGAAATTGACATAACATATCACATTCAGCAGCAATAGATATAACTTATGATAATCAAAAATTGTCAAATTGATATAAGTTATCAGATTTCAGATTATATAAAAACAATCAAAGTTACTTTGATGATAAATCAGAGCAGTTACAATAAATAAAAAAAATACCTAGAAAATTAATGAAGCTTAGTGTAGACTGCAACCTTGATGGCTTGATCGATAATTCCGCTTCTCTACTGGAAATTCAGGATTTTCGAAACTGAAAATTCATAAATTTTAACCAGCAAGCTATATAAGAAAACTGAAATTTCATAAATTTTAACTGGTAATCACTATCATATTTTCGAAATTTCAATTAGGTTATGTAAGAAATTTGAAATACAAGAAAAAACTTACTGGATTAGGACTTTAGGAGGACAAAATCATTCAATCACAATATCACACCTTTGAATCTTCACTTTAACACAACATATTTAGAGCAATAGATAAACTATTACATAATTAGAGTGGTAGAGGAGAGGACGATTCAGGATTTAAAAAGAAAGAAAGACGAACATAGGAGAAGCGATCGAGAGAGAGGGCGAGAGAAGCGCTGAATGGACGAGTAGAACGATCGATAGAGGACTAGATCATGATTTTAATTTCTAATCGTCATCTCCATTCTCCAGAAGGGACGCCTCGTGTTCTTCATCTTCAATTATTAGGCATGTGTTTAAATCGAAGAGGCACCATGTGAAATTGATTTTAATTGGCGCTAATTAGGTCTCAGTCGGCTGACCTAGACGTCTTGACATGGGATGGATCTCTTACTGGACTAGCCGACTAGAAATGGCCCAAATATACAATAATACTATAATAGGCTTTGAAAAATTGATGCCCCACTAGAATTTGATGCCCTGGGTCGTGGCCTAGCTCGCCCTGGGCTTGGGCCGACCCTGCCTACTTGTACCAAAAGGGTGTGGAAATGGGTGACTTTTTCTATATAATTTGGGAAGTGTGGAAAAGAAAGAGAGGAAAAAAATGATGTGGAGCATGTGTGCCATGTTGATAGTTTGGAAAGCATACCTTTCATTCTTACTTTTTTATGGATGCTTTGATGGTATATAGTTTTATTTTCAAGGGAAGCGGTTGAAGGAAGACTTAATTGTTGATACTTGATGCCATCATGGCTATGCCGTATTCTTGATTGATGTCTAAATGTAAAAGGTTTTATTATTTAATCGGCTAAAAACCCTCAATTGAGAGAGTGTGTATAACTACTTATTATGTTAAAAAGAAATTACTTGTAAAAATGGATTGTCTGGTTTAAAAAGTAAGTACTTTCAATGTAAAATTTCTATCTCTATTATAAAAATATATTTGCCTAGAAAAACCAGAGTAAAAAAACTAAAAATGCATCACCTTTTTATGTGATAGCGTTGGCTTTTAAACATTATGTAATATGAATTACATAATCCACCTTTTTAGTTAATAAATATATCGTTTCAACAAAAAGAGATGTAACTATATAGTATTATTTTTATAGCATCAATCTAATTAAAAGTGTATTTCACTTTCAAGATTTAATCCTTTAAATATTACAATCTTTAGGAATATATTATATTAACGAAAAAGTTGACCTTTTTTTGCAATGGATTATTTGGTGGTATATATCTCAACAAGATCGTTATCAAAGGATACAAATAGATGTTGTTTATGTCGTTTTTCTTGGATTACAAATAGATGTTGAAAGTTTACTTTTCTTGGGTCGATTAATTGGCTGATCAAAATCTTCATTAATCCCTTGTAAGTTGTAATTTCAGTAGCACATTCAGATAATTAAAATATTTTCATAGGTTGTAAAACATAAATATATAGGACAATCATATACATATCAATTACATATTCTAGACTTTCTCATAATAGATATTTAATATGGATAACACCATCCTTATTCTTTCATAACAACCTAGAAAAAGACACACCGGATGAGGTGACACCCTCCTTATTTAACTTATTCTTTCAAAGTTGAAAGTTACATAGAAAGACTTCGATCATGGACAAAACACAACCTTGTAGTTAGTTCCACCAGGGCAAGTAAACAAACTAGACTCATCATCTTGAGGGTAGCTATAAGCATCAGGACACCTATCCTTAAAGAACTTCGAATACTCAGTAGGTCCACAGCTACCACGTTCAATGGTGCAACAATACTCCACAGTATTAAAAACCGTGCATGGATTATTACATCCTCCCTTAGTTCGCAATTGTTCAGGGCACTGACCATTTATATCAGCAGCACACCTCATAGTCTTGCATGAAGCACCAACTGGGCTAAACTCCATCGGGATATTAAACCCATCGATGACAGATATGTCAACAAAGTCATCGTTGTTGAATTGGTTAAGAGCAAACTCAGCTAGGGTATTGGGTGGTGCTCCATAACCATTACATTCAAGCATTCCATTACAGTCGCCTGTATCACATTTCCCTCTTCCATTTGCATCAAAGTTGCAACCTGTTCTTCCCCAGATACGAGCTTTAGGTGTTCCTGGTGCAACTGTGACTTGCCATGATTGACCTGTTTCAAGCTGTTTACCTCCACCAGTTGAGACAGCGGCCCACACTGTGTATGGACATTGGTTTATGACATCGAAGTTGGCTCCTTGAGTGAAAGAGAAGCAGAAGATTGAAAGAATAGTGAATGGAATAAGAGAGAGTTTAGCAGGAGTCATGTTTTTGTGTTTATGGTATATATGTAGTGTTTAAGTGTGAGTTAAAATTGTATTTTGTTAGAAGGGTTTATATAGAAGAGAGATGGCATAAGTTAGGCATGCAAGTGAGTTATTTTCCATAGAATTTTCAATGATTATGAGATGGCTTTGGAATTTACGTTTGAATTTTAAACATATATAAGTACAAAGTTTGGAAGAATTTGGAAGTATAAGTTGATTAATAGCAAAATGTTGATAAGATAGAAAAATGTAACTAAGAATAGTCAAATAAACATAAGAAAATAGTTACGTCTTCTAGACATTGAATTTTCCTTTGCAGGGGAGATTCACCAAAAATCACATTTCTTAATTATATTTAATTTTTTGACCAACTCCAAAATTAGGTCCGTTAGCAAAGTCTCAAGAGAATGACATTCATTGTGTTTTTTTTTGAACCGTCGAGTTAGTTGTTAGTGGTCTGGGCGAATCTTCGTGACGGACCTTTCACCGTCTATGGGGCCTGTTGGCGACCACATATTTGACGCTCCATTGACTCAAGCACAAACACACCTCCCCCTTGTTAAACACCAACAAAAGTGAAACCCCCACTACCCGCGGGGCTGGTGAGTGTGTGGTAAAACACTCCTGACCTCATCCCAACTGAGCTACAAAAAAACTTATGAACCTAAAAAATTTTAAAAGAATTATATTTTGAAATTTTTACAAATTTCAAAATTGATCTTAAAAATAAAGAAAAACAAGCTTTATATTGCAAAAAGGAAAAAAAATGTATGATTGTTCTAGTTTCAGGTAAAACCTAATTAATTGGCCAATACTCGATTGGTATAATTCAAATGTACAAGTCGAATATTCAGATTTCTATATTGGTTTTAGCAAAAATAGGAATTAATTGTTGAATTCTAAATTAGTTCATTTAAATTACTAAAACCATAAACAAATAGTTCATTACATCGAATAACAATTATTTATATATTTATTTTTATGATATATCTTTAATAACTTTAACAATTTAACATAGTTGATTAGAAAAGGTTGTGACGGAGAATTTGAAATTTTGAATTGTATTAGGTCCTAAATTCATTTAATCGACATACAAAACTTTTTAAATAGATTTTCGTATGTCAGAAAATAAATTTGATCTTTTAACTTTATAAACCGTATATAATATCGACCAATTGAAATTTAATTTGATTGATTTGTATAAGATTTTAATTTTATTTGAGTTATTTAGATCTATAAATTAAAAAACCAATATCAATTTGAGTCAGATGGAATCATATCAACTTATCAATTCAAATTATAAAAAAAAAGGCAACCCAACCTAATAAATAGTTATTGATATTTTCTTGTAATTTTAATTATTTATTTTCCACTTGTCATTAGTGTTTTTTAATTTTTTAAAAATGTCACCTAATTCTTTAAAGTAATATTCAATGTTTGTAAGGATAAATTTTTCTAAAGTTTGTCTATTATTATTATTATTATTATTTATTTCAATAATATATAAGAAGTAATTTCAAATCCGCACAGATCCTACGCTTTTAATGCTTCCTTCTTTCACTCTCTACAATCTCGGTTTCGCTCTCTCATTTTCCCGCTTTTTCATAATCATCTGAATCTGGGCTCTCTGTATTCGTATCTTTTTCATCACTCTTTCTCCCCTCCTAAATCTCCGGTAAAACCCTAACAAAGGTCGGTTACATTTCAAATTTTTTTCAATGCTGATTACTATGCATGTCTTCCTGTATCCACAAACACAGCTTTCTATTTTTTCTTCTTTTCGAATTTTTGTTTTTAATTTGACGGTTACAAAGCTTAACGCAGGTATCTCTCAACTTATCATTGATTCAAAACCCAGAAATCAACCCTTAGTAGGATTTCCTTGTAGTGAATTTATTTGTTTTGCAATCGATTATCTACTTGCAATGCGGATCGATTGAATAGTTCTAATCTATGTAGTAGTGGAGAAAATCAACCGATTGAGTCAAATTGTTTGCCAATTTACTATTTTCACGCTTGATTGTTGAGAAAAATGTACGATTTTTGGTCGCATTTACATGAACCGATTTCTAACTAGCGATGACATTGGTTTTGATTATTGTTCCTCCTGCTTGGAGTATTGCATGTCTATTTTGGGATTTGTGATTAGTTTGTTTGATTATAGTCTTCTGAGATCTTTTACCATGTTTTGAATGTGATCGTGTTGTGTGTTCAGCATACCTCAATTGGGATGATAGAATTGATGATTGGAGTGAAGAAGGCAAATCCTACATTTGAATCTCCAAAAGAGGTTGGATTCACATCGAGCTCATCAGTTTCTGATAGTAGTTGTGATGCTAACACACCAAGATCTATTAATAGCCATGGGTAAAGCTTCTTGTGTTACTCTTACAGTTTACTAAACCATACTTATGTACTCAATTGACTTTTACCTCACTTATTCAGTTATTTGTATCCATTTGTATCGAGCTGCAGTAGCACCAATCAAACTAAACGTTCATCACAAGCAGGCTGGACAGATGATGAGGTTCATTGATACTTACTTAGTAGCCACGTGTCCTAAATCCTATATACACTTCAAACACACTTTAGTTTATGTAGTGGTTTAATAAAGATTATACAGTACTGTAAGAGGCTGTTTGATACAGCCTTTGAACGAATCATTCAGTACTAAATGGTTCAGTTTTATCTAACATCCCCTAAAGTAGAAGCATAACACTGTATTTCTATACATTTTTTGTATTAGGATAATTTGTTAACCGATGTAGTCAAGAAATACAACGGAAGGAACTGGAAGAAAATAGGTGAGCTTTCTATCATACATAATTTATTGGAATTAAACTATTTTTTTGTTTAATTTTGATTTTTTTTTGTGTGTGTGTGTTGTGAAGCTGAATGCATACCAGGAAGGACAGATGTTCAGTGTTTACATCGTTGGCAAAAGGTTCTTAATCCTGAAATTGTGAAAGGACCATGGACAAAAGAGGTAAACGCTCGCCATTTCTTTCATTATATAGTTATTATGATTTATGCCATTTTATTTGTTTTTATAAGTTTATATTTTTACAGGAAGAAGACCATATTATAAAAATGGTTGAGGCTCATGGTTGTATGAAATGGTCAGTTATTGCAAAGGATTTACCAGGTCGAATTGGAAAACAGTGCAGGGAGAGGTAAAAGTGATGTAATGACATAACTGGACCTTTTTTTTACAGTGCTAAAGTCATAAAATAGCAATGTACTTTGGATCCAGGTGGCATAATCATTTAGACCCTGCTATAAAAAAAGAAGCATGGAGTAAAGAAGAGGAATCAAGCTTAACATATTATCACCAGATATTCGGGAACAAATGGGCAGAAATAGCTAGATTTCTACCTGGAAGGTATATATATGCTTGAATGTTTCATTGTAATACAAATTATGAATCAAATTTGTAAAAGAACAAGGTGATAAATAATCTTGTGTACTTTCAGGACTGACAATGCTATAAAAAATCATTGGAATTGCTCATTGAAGAAGAAGATGGATTTAAACATTCCACACATTCTACCAATTACTGTTCATGAAACTACACACACTGATTCCATTTCCGATGGTGAAAAAAGTAGACTAGAAAATGATTCCATTGCTTGTATAACAAACTTAGCTCTAGGAATGGATGATTCCATTCCCAGCGTTGATGGTGAAGAATGTCTAGGGTTTGCCAGGTTCGCAAAAGGATGCGGATTTAAACCACCGGTAACTCGTTTTGAATCTCGTAAAAAGCGTAAGATTGACAGAACCAACGATTTGAAACTCGGATCTTCACCAGATTCGTCATTTCTAAGCTTATCGATATTCGGATCAAGCAAATATGGTGAATCTTCAAGTTTTGGACGTCAAATTGGTCAGTTTTCTTGCTCGACTCCTCCTGATCTTACACTAAGCATCTCGTTTAGTGCGAGTTCTTCTGAATCGGTGCTGACGAACTCTACAACGAGTTGCAAAAACGCGAATTTATCTGCACATGATTGGAATCGAGAAATTGAGACTGGTGATTCGGAAAATGTGAAGCAAAATTCGGATTTGTGGGCTCGTAAATCTCAACCACGGTTAGGAAGACGTCTGGATTATATATTTGATTCGGCTTGCGATCCAACGGCTATCAATTGCTGTAGTAACTCCAGTACCAGTTGATTGTGTGCAGAAAGTAATAAAGAGTTGAACACGAATGGTGGTGTATTGCAAAGCTGAGAATAAAATGCACCTCATAAAAGTCAAAGCTTCATAGGTAAATTCCGATTTTAAAATTGTTATTCAATTTGTTTTTGTTGAATACAAAGGTAAATTATACAAAAATAAAAGTTTCATAGAGGCTAAGAACGTGTTTGGCAAAAGTAGCTGTTAGCTGGAAGCGGGTAGTGGGAAGCTGTAGCTTTTACTTGTTATATGAATGTTTGGCAAAAATAGCTGGGAGCTTTTGAAATATATAAAATTACATAAAATGACACTTGATTAAAAATAAATAAATATATAAATATATTTTTAAGGGTAATTATGGAAATTGATTTCAAAAGCTCAGGAGCGTTTTGTTAAACGCTACATGAAGTAGCTTTTAGAATCGGAGCGTTTTGTTAAAACTAAAAGCTAAACGCTCATACTGCCAAACGAAGCTTTTTGTTTAAACTAGAGCGTTTTATCAAAAGCTAAAAGCTAGAAGCTCCTAAACGCTTCCAAAAGTTCTGTGCCAAACACGCCCTAAAAGTCCTTATGACAAGTGACAACTTCATTCATCGTCTTTGCAATAAAATTGCATTTCATACCATGTAAGGTGTATTCTAGTACTTTAACCATATCGACATTCTCATATGATATTGACGACATTTTTTATACCCCCAAATTCAAAAGAAAGTATCTGGGTTTGTATGAAACACAATGAAACTAATACCTCTTTTATACCCTAGTTAGGCCGATTTCACAGTAAAAAAAATACAATTTTGCATTACCATTGCTAAATTTGATTGCAAAATAGTAATACAAAAGAGATAAACCATTTTTGCGGTGGGTTCCTCAGTTTTATAATGGACCCTATACAAACTCAAATGGCACAAACTGTTTCGTTGTATGTTCCATAAACATCATATAACTCATGCAAAGTCCTTTTTATGGAAATGAATATGTAAATGTTACAATGATTTCTCTATATATTTTAATAAACAATAGCCAGTATATTAATACATGATTTATTTAAATAATGAATATGTGTTTATTAAAACGGTTTTCCTGAGATCTTGGATATAATATCCCTAAGATCCATAAAAGGATATTTGTTTCTTGGATGATGGTAACTTTGTGTAAGAGCATTGTGTATGGGTCATACCCATACCCATCCACAATGTTGTCACGTCACCAACAACTCTTCATGACTTCTAGAGGGGATGGTATTCCCAGTCTTAACCTAGCGGAGGTGAAGTAAAAAAAGAAAAATAAAACAGAGGAAAGAAAGAGTATGGCGTTATGGGTTGTTATGCCAGCAATGAGCAACACCAAAACGAGAAGCAGAGGCGGTATTTGTGGCGTTATGGAAGTGCCACATAGGCACCTCCACGGCGTTATGGTCCCGTACCGTATGCTCTAAAAGTAGACAAAAGAAGTGGAAGTATGCACAATGTCACATTATATCTATTCTAAAAACTAATGTCGGTAGACGGTAGCCCTTTTAGTTTTTAAACCTTTTTCTTCTATGTTTTTTTTTTTGCTATTGACCCTTATTTTATAAAATAACATTTTACGCCCCTCTACTTTTTTTAGAATGTCATTTTTACCCATCGATTTTACACTTTGTATATTGTCACTTTTTCTCTTTTGTTTTCTAAGTTTTTGTGTTTATTTCTGGTAGTACATATAATATGATTTTTCTATAATTACCACTTTCAACTTTGTAAAATTTCATTTTGTCTCCTTAGCTTTAAACTTTGTAAAATGCGTCTTCACTTATTTGGATTTAAACTTTGTGAAATATCATTTTGACCCCTTCGACTTTGAATTTTGTATAATCTGGTTTTCCTTATTAACTTCTATTATTTAACTAAAAAAACTAATTTTTAACGTGCGTGTTTTATTTAATGTATGACTCGGTATAAATTATAGGTTGTGAACATTTTGTCGTACATTTAGAACCTTCATTCGTCAATATAAAAAAATATGTTTATGTATATATTGGTATAAATTCGAGTTCGTCTACATTCCGAGGTAACATTTTTTATGTTTTTGTGCTTATTTTTATATATGCTTCCTACGTCAATCGATCGCATATAATACGTTTTTTTATTATTTGAACTTCTATGTGTTAAATTTAATAAAATAATCTTACTTGCTTATTTTTATATATGTCGATATAAATTCAAATTTCTTTACGTTTTGATGTAAATTTTGTTAACGTTTTCATGATTATTTTATATACGTTCCTACATATGAGTTTGGTTACATATAATACATTTCATTCGACATTATAAACTGGAGTTATTTAGTGGTACCGACCTTCTATATTAATCTACCAACAGATGCAATATTGTTTAACTTTTATCAATACAATCGTTAAAATTCAACTTAAACCGATTACTGCCGCTGCAATGCGTGGCGGGTAAAATCCTAGTTATCTGTATGGACAAGATTTTGACTACTATCATTTCAACTTTACCTTCTAACATCTTAGGTTATCCACACCTCTGTTTTAACTTCTAACATGTTAGTCCATTCACACCAGGGCAATGTCATTTGTCTTTCAAACATGAAATATCAGCTTTTGCAACTAAACCCCACATCAATTCAATATTAATATTCTTTTTAAAATGGTCCCACTAAAAATAAAAAATTGTTTTATATATTTTACAATATATTTTCATGTCTATATACATAATAAATAAATGATATGTAATTAAATGAAAGGTGGTATTTGGAACTATTTGCAAGACCATTTGTAAGACCGGTCCTACATTATTCTTGTTTATAAGATTATTTCATAGTTCAATGGCTTATATAGCATTAAAAAATAAAAAATATATATATAAAAAATTCAAGGATCATTTGAAACTGAAAGCTATAGTTTATGGAGTTTTAACGACAACCCAATCAAAACCATATTAATTTTCACAAATCAATTGAAAGTTAAATATTTTTCCTACTCTGACATCAAAGTTCTTAAACGCCCCTAACATGTTTACAAACCCTACCCAAATTCACCCATAAACAAAAAGATTACGATCCAATTTCAATTTAAAAATAAAAAATTCAAGATCATATCCTTACAAAGAAAATACTCAATTCAGGCCCATTGTTCCCATCAGGGCTCAACATATAAAGCGTCTCTGAATCCCTTGACCCCACCACCCGGTCAAAGTGTGCCCTCATGTATGCAATCTCACCGTCAGGACCTTCGACCTCAGATTTCCCCGGCAACACTCCGGCACCCATTGCCACTGCCGCAAGCGTCTCCATCACGTAATAATCCTCCTCCGTTGGTTCCCTCTTCACCCCACGACCACCTTTTCTCCCATTGAAAAACATCGTCCATAACGGCTCTTCCAGAAGCTTCACCTTCTCCTTTTCCTGCTGTTTCTCGCACTCTAACGCGATTCGAACCATTCCCACATTCATTTCGTTCTGCAACTCGTTCGTTTCGAGCTCCAATTCCAGAATCATGATCGGTAACGTTTTGGTGTTCTCTTGAATCGCAAGGGCGACACACCCTTTTCTGTATCCGTACAGCGTTCCGGTGACGCAGTTTGTTCCACGGTGACCTTCCGGCGGACGGCCGCTGGGGAAGAGTGGGATTTTGGCTTGTGTTACAATTGGGAACGACCGGAAAACAGAGCGAACGACTCGGAATACTTTGGTGTGTTTGCCTTTTTTGTAGGACGATCGTGCGAGACCGGTGGTTGGTGGTTCCGGCGGAGGCGGCGGTGGTGGTTGTTTATGTGATTTTAATGATGGCGATGGCGATGAGGATGGTGGCATGGTGGTGAGATTGGGACTTTTTAACTCCCCCATTACCGGAATCTTATGCAGATTCAGCAACGGGAGAAAGATTAGGGTTTGTTTTGGATTGTGTTTCTAAAATATGGCTATTAAAAATTTAATAATTTATCCACACTTTTAGCAAAATATTTAACCAATTGAAGGCTTTATTTGTGGTCTATTCTTTTTTTCTTGAATTGGGTGGCTTCGGCTAATTTCAACATTAACCCAAAAACAAATCTACAAAGAATAACAAGTAAAATCTATTAATAATTAATCCCACTTTCTTGTGAGACAAACATATATGGTTTGTCTAGAAGCAGCCTCTTACGATTGTTGTTTGTATTTTTAGACACTAAAATACATATTAACTTAAACCTACCAACCCATTATATTAAACCCACCAACCCATTATAAAAAGTATCAATTCCAATATCCAACACAAAATTCAGTTTCCTCTATATCATAAACCGGCATCCCAAGTCGGTCAAGCCTGCCCGAGCCCGGATATGCCTTCCGTGCAAAACTATCGCGCACTGTGGGAACCCATTGCACACCTGACCCGTATTTATAACCCGGATCCCTTTTCGCTCCACTAGAAACCTCGTTATGACTCCTTAGTCTTGGAGCACTTAGTGACCTAACTTTAGCCCGTGATGACTCTGTGTTAGCCATATAGTTGGGGTGGTCAGAGTACCCGCTAACATAGCTTCTTGAACCCTCATATGAATTAACTTCACAAGATGCACATGGGCTCGAACTTGTGGGTTGAACCGTTGACCCTCTTGAAGTAGTCAAACTTTGACTAGACACGAAGTTGATTTGGTCATGTTGAAAGAGCTTTTTTCCTTTAGTTATCGTATCGATTTCAACAATTTTGTCGTTTTCTTGAGTAATTACATCTCGATTGTAAGATTTTGAGTTGTTCTTCTGTGTTTGTTCGATGATTGGGTTAATTTCAAGAAATTGCATTAAATAAATTGAGTCTTGTTTTTGAAATAACATACCTTTAATATAGAACGATGATCGTGTTTATTACATGGAATTTGTTCGAATTTTTCCAGAGTCGCATGTTCCTACAAATACAAGGCACACATCACATTCATGTACAAAAATAAAAATGACCGGATAATATTGTGTTTTTGCCGTTCTAAAATAACAAAATTAATAATGTGTTTGACATATATTTGACCAGGATAAAAACTAGTGATAATAGTGAGA